CCTCATCCTCCTCCTTCTCTTCCAGCTCCTCCTCCTCGTCCTCCTCCTCCTTTTCCTCCTCCTCCTCTTCCTCTTCCTCTTCCTCCTCAAAGGAGACTGTTATTTCTATCATCTGGTGCGTAATGGTCGTTACCGGGGCCAAATTCTCCCCCCCGGGGTAAAGGTAACGATCGTATGTTTTTTGGGGGACTGCAGGTATTCGCGAGTGCCTTGCTATTGCTCGCAGGCGCCCTGCCAGTGCTCGCAGGCTTTGCGCAGGTGCCCCGCCTTGCCAAAGCGTCACTCTTACCTGGAGCTCAACTCCCCCCCCCCTGGTAACGACCGTTACGCGGAAATGGAAAATCCCAAGGCGGGCCTAGGATGATGACAACTCGTTCCAGAGCGCACCGCAGCGCATTCAGAGCGTTCCAGGACACTCCAGAGCTGCGGCGCGCGATACGGCCTCGAGGCTGGTCGGCTCTCAGAGGTCCGACCACGTAATATCTGTCAGAATATGTCCTTATCCTGCCTTCGTCTTATCCTCAGAGGAGGAAACGTACCCACTCTACCCTTCCCTCGTTTCCCCCTTTTGGGGGCCTCCTCGGAGGCCCTCGTTGCCACCGCTGGGTTCGCCTCGAAATCCTAGTCAGAACGCACCCCAGGAGAGGTCCGAAGAGTAGCGGCATCAGTACCGTTTGGTTTCCCCACATCCTCCCCCTGCCCCACATGTGGGCCCCGCGGCACAGGCGAACCGCCAGTCTGTCCTGCAGCATGCCACACACGTTCTGGACTCAGCGAGGCCGCCCGATGGCGAGAACGGCCTGGTTTGCACCAAGGGTCACCCAGTCACGAAGAGAAAGGTGGGCTTGCGACTTCATCAGAAGTGGGAGTTCTGGAGCGAGCGCAGATGCGACTTTTGCGACGAAGAGATCGCGCAGAACGCTGTGAGGTGGCGCTGCAATGAACACTGCGACTTCGACATTTGCGAGCCGTGCTACGAGTCTGGGCAGCGCCAGGACGACTCCCAGCTCCTGCAGAAGGGCCGCGCCGACTCCCGGTCCCTGAGTCTGAGCGGTCCAGGTCTGGGCGTCGTTCAAGTGGAGATCCCGAGGGACAAGGTCCAGAGCCACGACGGAATAGTCTTCTACGAGGTCGAGGTGACCCCCGCGTTCTCGGAGAGCAGTCCTCCCCTGTACTCTGTCCGGAAGCGCTACAACCAGTTCCTGGAGCTCAAGACGAACTTGGGCCCCGAGGCCGAGAAACTTCGGCCTGCCTTTCCTGGGAAGCTCTCGAAGCTGTTCCAGTCCGAGTCCTCCCTCGAGGACAGGCGAAGTGCCCTGTCACAGTGGCTGCAGGCGGCCGTCGCACACCCCCTGAGCTCCAGCGCATGGCGCGATTCGCTCAGGCGCTTCCTGCAATTCGACCCCGAGCGAGACAGGTGATCCATGCTTACCACAACCACCCTTACCCAACCCGATGGCCCTGGACCCCCTAAATTTCAGGTGGGGGCGTACGGGTTCCACCGTGTCCCCTCAATGTTTTGAAGGGCCCCCCCCCACCGGTGACGAGCACACTGATGACTTCAGGTTGGGTTGGGGTGGTTTGGTAGGTATCGGTGGTGAGCGAGGGGCGGACGTTCTCAGAAGGCTCGGAAGTCCCTCAGCTTTCTGAGGAGCTTTCTGGAAGACACGCAAGAAACCTCTCAGAAGGCCAGAGGCCTTTGTGAAGTCCCGCTGATCTCTGAGAAGGCCTCTCTCCCTCTCGCTTCCCCCCCCCTCGCTCGCCACCGGAGCCAGCGCCGGCCTCCCGCGGATGTGTCTCCTCCTGCGCCCGCCTGCGGCGCCGGGAGCTGGCGGGCCGGGAGCGGTCGCCCCCCTCGGCCTCGCGCAAGAGCGATCCTCCGCCGGAGTGACCATTGGTGTGGGCTCGCTGGGAGGCGCGTGTGGCGAGACATTCGGAGGTTTATAGACCTCCCACCCTGAGAGGGCTGGTCCAGGTCCGTTGGTTTCGGTCCTAGGTCCTAGGCCGTTTTCACTAAGGGGTGGTTTGCTAAAGGGAGGTTCGTCCACCGCCGATGAATGAGGGGCGGCGAGGGATGCAGAGAAGGGGGCCCTGTAGGGCCCTAGAGGGGCCCTCTGGGGCCCGACAGAGGGACACCTTTCCTTCCCCCCATCAGTTCGCCCCCCCGTGGATTCGCGCACAGGCTCGCAGGTTTCCTCACAGCACTGGCATGCGCGCTTGGATTTGGCCGACCCGCGGCCCCCTGAAGCTGCGCACCAAGGGTCACTCGTCTCCAGGGCTGGACCTAAACGCTGCTTTGCTGCATCTCGGCTGTGTTTTGTTTTACGCCTTGGCAGGGAGGTACAGGAAAACAGCTTGAGCAAAACGAGAAACAAAACGAGCACATAACGAAAAACAACGTGAAGTCCAGCCCTGCTCATCCCTTGGGTCACTCTTGCGCACAGCCGACCCCGCCGCCCCGGGACATCGCCAGCGGCGCGAGCCGCCAACAGCCAGGGGGCCAGGGATCCCTCCCGGCTTCTGCGGCCAGGGCGGCGGCCGTGAGAGCCAGCGCGCACGAGGGGGCTGGCGCGAGGCCGGGGCGGCTTTCGGCGAAGGCGGCCGGCTGCCGAGAGGGCAGGGGCTCGAAGAGGGCAGCGGGCTCGTCGGAGGCCCTCTCCCAGCACGTCCTGCTTGGAATCCCCGCGGGGGCCCTGCCAGGAAGGCCCCCGCCTCCTTGGAGGCCACCCCGCCGCCTGCGAGGGCCGCCCCCGTCGCGCCACCCCCCTCGTGCGCGCCGCCGACGTCGGTCGGGGCCCCGGCGCCCCAGTCGGACTTGCCAGCTGTCCAGCTGTCCCGTGCTCGCTTTCGGCCCCCCCCCCCCCCCCAGGAGGGTTGCACGCCGAACCTGTAGCAGGGGCGGCGGAAGTGGTGGGGGGGGGGGGGGGGAAACGCTTCGGCGGGCACGCCTTGACGACCCCACCCTGCCCACGAAGGCATGGTTTCACCATCGGGGCCATCTCGCACGTCTGCCGCCGACACATCGCCGTTCCCAGGTCGAATGTTCACAGTCTCAGGCAGTCCCCCCCTTCGGCCCCCTCAACCCATCCAGGAAACCGTCGGCCTCCCTGGGGCAGAGGAGGACAGGGGGGTGAGGGGATAACTTCCGTGGAGTGGTCTGCGGAGCTCCTGGAGTCCCCACCTAAACCAAGACAGTTCAAGAACTTCGATCCTTGAGTCTCGGTCCACGACGGCGACAGCATGTGCAAATCCTTAACGTGCCAGGGGAGGATCTGTGCAAGCTGCCTGTCCCACGGAGTTGCTCGGCACACCAGGGGAAGGTGGGTGCGAGGTCGGGAAGGAGGGACGGGAAGGAAGAGCAGGAGGAGGCAGGAGCAGGAGCAGAAGGAGGCAGGAGGAGGAGGAGGACGAGGCATGATGATGATGAAGCTATGAAGATGAGGATGAGGATGATGATGATGATGATGATGATGATGATGATGATGATGATGATGATGATGATGATGATGATGATGATGAGGAGGAGGAGGAGGGAGGAGGAGGAGGAGGAGGAGGAGGCAGGAGGAGGAGGAGGGGAGGAGGAGGAGGAGGAGGAGCAGGCAGGAGGAGCAGGAGGAGGCAGGAGGAGGCAGGAGGGAGGCGGCGGCAGGAGGGGCAGGAGGAGGCAGGAGGAGGCAGGAGGAGGCAGGAGGAGGCAGGAGGAGGCAGGAGAGGAAGGAGGAGGAGGAGGCAGGAGGAGGAGGAGGCAGGAGGAGGAGGAGGAGGAGGAGGAGGAGGAGGAGGAGGAGGAGGAGGAGGAGGAAGAGGAGGAGGAGGAGGAGGAGGAGGAGGAGGAGGAGGAGGAGGAGGAGCAGGCAGGAGGAGGAGGCAGGAGGAGGCAGGAGGCAGGACGGGGACGCCCCCCACAGAGATCCCACCAATCACTGAGACCGCGTTTAAGCCGCCTTAGCACACGGGAGACCACCCCTTTCTCCCTCCCCTGCAGTAAAATCGCCGAAATAAGGACCACTGTGGCCCCAGGAGGGGCTGGTTTTCGGGCCACTCCTTTCGATCTAGCTCGGGGAGCAGAAATTTCCTTCGCTCCTTGCTCAGCGTTCGTCATGGCAGCGCGATGGCATTAGCAGGGAGACGGTATTTTGTCGTTTGCAGGCGCAGGCCCTCCACCTCAGTCACACAGGCATACCCACGAGGGCAAGACATCCCGTGCCCTGGGGAGAACCTCGGGCCATGTAGCACCACCTTGGGGAGCCTCACGAATAAGCTCGGTGCAGAGAGCGCTCAACAAACGCCTGAGAACTGAGGGAGCTTGCATTCGAAATCCATGATACGTATGGTAACCTTCCCAAGGGTACCCTTGCATGCTTGCCTCTTCGGCGCATCCTTAACCACTTTTGATGGCCCGCCCCGCTCGCAAAGCTTCGACATATGTAGGCGTCGAATGGGCTTGCATCCTTATCGTGCAACCTTACTAGACATGCTGAGTGTTGCCAGACCTACCGGTGAACAGAGGGAGGGGAGGAGACGGGCGAGGGGGCCAGCCAGGGAGAGAGCAACAAGTGGACAGGGGTTGGCGGAGCAGCGTCGGGGGGCCCGCCGCCTGGGGCCTCCGCCTCCCCTTCCTGCCTTCTCTCCTGCCTTCTCTCCCTCTCCTCCCTCGGTCGGTGGTTGGTCGGTCGGTCGGTCGGTCATCAGGCGGAGAAGTCAACGACGCCCCAGCACAGGCAGCAGGAACATAGATAGTGGAAAAGCGATGACGGCAGCAGCGTCGGCACAGGGGCGCGAGGCTCCTGCCCGCACCAGCAGGCGCAGGTGAGTGGCTGCCGAGAGGCAGCTTTTCACATGCAGCACAGGGCTATTGCTTTGGAAGTGGGCGAACACCAAGCACAGGACAAGGAAATAGCAAGGGGAATTAGAAACGAACAGCCTCCACGCCTGGAGACGTCGGGTTGCTGACAGGGTCGAGTGGCACTTGTGGTGCCACACTGGACAAGTACTGCCTGCTAAAATGGGCGTACACTGGCGTCGCCCATGGGTGCGGCATACAGTCCTTGCCCAACCCCTCACCCCACGCCCCTCTTACGTTGCACACGATGGTGCGAGGTGTGCGTGTGTGTAAGAGAAAGGGAAAGAGGACAATCCTCACACACTCCGCACATAGTGAAACTGGTGTATCACACAATGCATGGCAATCCCTGTGACCACGCACGGCCCAGGGAGGCAACGAACTGACGGACCCCCCAAGGGATACCCCATCGATCCTCCGCAACATCAATGCCCAGCCGCTGACACAACCCACCATCTTGTGGCAAGCTTGAAGCAAACGAGATGGCAAGCTGCAGAGGATTTGGGGCAAGTCTCGTGGGGCACTCCAGACACACCTGAGGATGTTTAGTCGACGACTTCGGGAGGGTGGGTGGACACATGTTAAAAGATCTGAGCAACGCATTCGCCAGTACTGATCATGATACTGTGGACCAGGTCGTCGAGCTTCATGCCAAGCCAGAGGACCACCATACATAAACATACCTATACACCCAAGTATCTATGTATATACATGCAACGGTTTCGGCAGAGACTTCTTCAGTTTGAAGCTTCAGACGAGGCGCTCGTCGTCAGGCCCATGGGTGGTGGCTGCATGGGCGACCCATTCATTGTCTCAGCCTTTTCCAATCATATCCTGGGGAAGGGAACTACGGTCATGGGATAGTCAATCAAAGATGTTGGCAGGGAGATGAAAGGGATAAACAGTGGAGACCTCCCTTCAGACGTATGCTGACGATTTGAAAAATCGCAATCGCTGATCCAGGGGACTCACTTGCCTCATGTCTGGGCAATTCGTGTACGTGGACCGAGATTTAGACGATGCCCTTTCCCAGCATGGCTATGCGCAGAATGCCGCCCAGCAGGAATTGCTCGTGCATTGAGCTCAGCAGGAACGTTTCGGTCGAGCTAACGTCCGAGCGGGTGGTTTTGCTTTGGGGGGCGGCACGGGAGGAAGCAGGGTGCTTGGGACTGTATTTTTCCATGAAGGATCCGGCTAGGAATGAAGTGGTCCGTGAGTGCGCTGGTGCTCCCTGTGGTTTTTCATCTACTTAGTGGAATGTGAAAGCTCAATGGACTGGCTAGGAGGTGGAGGAGCTGTTAATTCATTGGTTTGGCTCCAAGCGCACCGTGATCGTGGTTAGAAAGCCTCGCCCTGTCCAAGAAAGGTTACGAAATAATAGGTTCGCGTTCAAGCCGGCTGGGCAGATCAGCAACGGGAGGGGCGGCTAGCTTTGAAGGGGGGGAGAGCACACCACGAGGCTTGCCAACAAGGGAGTTCAATGTCTCTGAAAATTATACGTATCACCTACCAGCCAGGGGATGATAATCATACGTTTGGAGCTTTATAAGACCTCTGGGTCGGTGGCCCGAGCGCCGCGCCCAGGTGCGGGCGGCCCTTCTCTGGTGAGTTTGACTCTGCAACCAGGCC